TATGTATGTATGTATGTATGTATGTATGTATGTATGTATGTATGTATGTATGTATCTATGTATGTATGTATGCATGTATGTATGTATGCATGTGTGTATGTATGTGGAAATTTTGTCTTGGCTGTACGGGAACAGTAAAAAGCTGTGAGAAAGAAGAAAAAAGGAATTCCCAAATACAGAGAAAGGTAGCTAAACATTACTTCAAGGTTCTTACAGTTAGGGCAAGTTACAGTGACGCTATCGGGAGGTACACAGTTGGCCAATCCTTGATCCCATGAAAACAGGTAGCCATCTGGACAGGTCATTTCAAAGGCTTGCTGGTCACCGTTGCAAGAGTAGAACAGCTGGCAATAGTTCTCGTGGGACAGCAGAAGAGATCCACCTTCGTTATTGTCAGCATTGCACACTGTGGAGAAGAACGCAAAGTTGGCCACGAGTTCCTAAAGGAATAACATTATCGCGGTGTCATTGTTATCCTTACCATAAAGACATTAAAACAATTAAAGCGTTGTGCACCGGAAAAGGTGGTCGATAATATTCTTAAGAATTTTTTAAAACTCAAACGCATGCCACCTAAAGCAAGACGTAATGAAAAATTGGAATGAAAGATGGAAATCAAATACCCAAAATCAGAAACTGAACGGATATCCGATATTTCTAAAAGCGAGCTATTAATGATAATAATAGATTGCATAATTTGTGGAGCGCAAAAACTTGCTCAGCAGCAGGATCTATGTCATTCATGATCTATACTATTACCCAAGCAGACCTGAGATTATTCTGAAACAAATTCAGCTTCATGGGAAGCGTACAAGTTTCGTCCCAGGTTACAGCAGCTCGGGGTTGGAAGGCACGTGCAAAAAAAAAGGTGATGAAGATTTTCCTCAGTATCTTATATTAAAGATTAAAGAAGAAAAAAAATATTTTTTAATGACTTACCTGGCTTAGCCGCAGGGGTGAAAGCAGTGGCCACAGCCACGCATGCTGCTAGGATGAGGAACTTCATGACGAAATCTTCAGCAAACCTGAAATGAGGAACAAAACTGCTTTCATTAACTCAAACTATAGGGCTTGCTTGCAAGTTAAAACTATGGCGTGATGCATCGTTTGGTTGTTCACAGTCGTAAGAAAATCAACATAATCACAGAAAGTCCGCTGTATTTGTAACCAAACTATATGTTTATTGTATTGTGCATTCATTTCAGGGCAGTTTTATGTTTGTTTTGGTGCAAATAGATCAATGGAAGCGGAGGTATTAGGACATTTGTGACGATACAAAATTGAATGACAAAACAGGCTACGTACAAAAGTGGAATAGATTTCCGTATACTAAAACTTAAACATTATCAGAATTGTTCCTATTTCGCCTTAATCGGAAGTTAGAGAGTTCAACGTTCCTATCGACGCCACAATGCTGTGTGGGGAAATATGTTGATTTTTTTGTTTTGTTTTTTGTAAGTATTTGTTTTACACCTTCATCAAAATAATTTAACTCATTTAAGAAACGAGTTTCGACTCTGCGTGCAAGGACAAGTCCAGGCAGAAATATCGAGACACTCGATGAAAATTTCCCCTTTCGGGAATCGAACTCACGTCGTCTGCGTGCGGCGGCGAAGTACCTAACTGCTACACCACAGACGCTAGTAAGGTTGTGTAATAGGCGGGACGTCCAACTTCGATCTAATAGAACCAAGCCAAGTGGCTAAAGAGGTTTAAAAATGCCACATTACTGCCCAAGTTCAAATATTCAAATACCCTCCTGAAAAAGTGTGTGTGTGAAAGGGGGGGGGGGGGGGGGGGGGGGGGTG